AGCGATATTCATAAGACAAAATAAAATAAATATAGACTTATATTTAAAACAAAAAAAATATATATATATATATAAGTATCCATTTTTAATACACATTTTTTTTTAATTATGAAAATGGATATCGTATCGATTTTTCTAACAATTTGGATACAATCAAACATACTTTTCCAAGAGTGTTTCCGTCAATCCCCTGAGGACCTCAGTGCATTGTTGATGATATTCAAGAAGAGCCTCGCTGAAAGTTGCCAATTGTGCTACTTGCTCGATCTGCAAAAGAACGTCATAAGAATCTCGACCTGTGCGCGTCACAACTCAGACTAATGACGACAACTCACGTCGTTCGCCAGCAAATTGAACATGCCCATCTGTGCCAAATGGAGACTCTCCTCGAACTTCTCTTCAGCTTGACGAATCTCGTCGTCTGAAACGTGAGAACCTGTTCGCAAACGGTTGCCCCGCCAACGAAATTAAAAAGGTTGCACTACTGGGTTGCTTCATTTCCTAAATCTAAACACTTATAGTATAACGAGTACAAAAAAGCGCAATTCGTTCTACGAGCGCGCAAGTGTATTTCTGACGTCACAAAGAAGCGTGTTTAAGTGTCGTGACTTTAATAAAATTATCTTTTCTAATCATTTCTAAAACTAGCAACAACGCATAAAGCGACATAACAGTTTAAATTTTAACTTATTTAAAGACATATTAATAAAAATATATTTAATCTAATTAAGAAGTTTTTAGAGGATATTTAAAAATATAATCTTTCAAGAATATTTGTGTGGAAAGAGTCCAAAAATATTTCAATTTTTGATTTTACACAAGTTTAGGATAGTTTTTAAATTCTTTTTGGAAATTTTTCAGGAAATTTATGGACAATGGGAGTACAATATGTAATAAATTTTCAAAATTACAAATTCCTAGGCACACAATGGAAGTCATACCAGTATATGGCGACGAGATGCCCAATCGCGCAGGACTTCCAAAATGCGGACTGACGGATCTTTTTCCAGTCGCTAATAATTAAGCGATTGCCCAAAGAAAAACAGACAGAGCACACCGATTATCAGCAAAAGGCGAAAAGTAAATTCATTCGGAGCAAATAATACAAAAGAATTGCGATGAAAAATACTAACAAGTTCGAAAAGCATAAAAGTAAGATGTATAAAATTCACAAAAATTATTATCGAACGTAAAATTCTGTCATATAATAAAAAATGTTAATACTAATTTATTTCGAATTATACACATCTTGTATTTTCTTGTTTATTAAAGTATTTATTAAATCGAGTTATCTATTAATTATACTCAAATTAAAAATTCAAAACAATTTGTGAATATTACGCCCAAGTTCTTTAAATTTTAATAGAAACTTGGATCTAACGATTATTATTATGTTATATGTTATTCTTATCGAATATATTAAATATATTATATAAATATATCAAGTACAATAAATATATTATATAATTAATATAACATTTTATTAAGTTATTTAGTTTATAAATATTACATATTTATGTAAACGGTAGAATACACGAAGGACTCCCTTGTCAAAACACTGAATATACATTTTTTTTGCATCTTTAAATGGCTGTAATGCAGTAAGCGAGCTAATCATAATAGAGAAAAATAATTTCTTTGTATAAAACGCACATTAAAGAAAAGTCTTCTTCTCACGCTTTACTTTCGAGTCCACACTATAGCACTGATTCATGATTCTATTCGATCGTGCTCATGCAACGCAGCATGCGAGTAAAAGATCTTCTTTCTATTGCAAAAAAATTGTACCATTTGCATCTACTCATGCAACGGTTTTATTGTGATAATCCTATTCGGAGGGAGTGAATCATGTACGAAACATAATTCTATTTTCCCATACACATGCTGACAATAGAAAATAAAGCTGTTTTCGTAAAGAACTTAGAAATAGACGTGTTATTACGTTGAAAAAGTATTATAAATAAACAATCAAAATGGTAATTGTCTAAAAATTTTGAAAGCGTAAAACCGATATAGTCGCCAAAGCGGATCGTTTTTCAGCATAATAATAAACAATACTGAAATTAAAAGTAAGAATAACAAAATATCAGACAAGATGAAAATTACACAGTACAAGATATAAAAAGATATACAATATGACTCACAAAGATGAGAAAAAAACTCCAAAAACTTCTAAACTTTTATTTTTATGCATATTTTTTTTAAGTACATAGTTCCTAGAAAAAAGAATTACAAATATAAAAAGCATCGTTGCTCAAAAGTAACATTTCTGCGACTGCTAGCCTTTTTATTACATAAAGTGACGCATCATTTTCTTTAAGTTTTTCAAAAATGATGATTTTGTAACTACAAGTTTTTCTCCATCGAAAGAAAATATTTTCTGTCTTGATCACAGCACTTTTATCTCTTTAATAGTGACAATTTTTGTAATTGTGACCTTTCGCCATTAGAGCCCGGTAATATCACCTTTCGCGTTTTCTTTTACGGCATCGCCGTTTCGCGAAAATTGTGCGGTTCTAACTTCGCTCCCCGCGTCGGAAACACAATCGCCCAGTCTCATTACTAGCGTTATAGCTCTATCGAGGTTTTTATTTCAACTCTTCGAATCACGGGCATCGCGATGACGATGTGTTCGTGCAAGGACACTCGCGACGACGGTTCGCTCGCGCGCGGCTGAATAAATCAATAGGAGTGCGGAAACGCGAGAGGACGAGAAGCGAGGGCAACATGCGAGGAACCTCAACATACCTTTTGCTTGGCGTCTTCGCTTGCAATCAAAGTCCAATCTACGGCCTTGCAGTTTCTTCCGATGGTGCTGAAATCAACAAATCAAAGAGATCGAACGCTTGAAGATTGCGAATAAACAGCGCCCAGTCGAGCGCGACAATACACAACTTTTCCAATAATCATACCATCACTTCTTTGAGATCTTTGATCTGCAGATGGTGCAACGGCTCGAGGAAGTTTTGCTTGATGTTATCGTCCAGAGAATACTTCACGTCTGCCATCTGCTTCATGGCTTCGCCCATTTCAATAAGAGCCTGGGCTGCAAGGATTAATAAAAATGGGTAGAGAATAAGGTGAGATAATACGACCTATCGATCCTCGATATTTCTCGCTTTTTTTAATCGTAAGAATAAACTTCGACACGAAAACACCTAACTCATGTAAAGCAATTTTTCTCAATTATCTGAAACAATTACCAGATCATATCTTATCTGTTAACAAAAAATTGTTGCGTAAAAAAGAATAATTTCATGAAGAAGGAAATAAAATCTCTGAATAATATATGGAATAAAATTTCAATTTTAATACGAGTAAAAATAATAATGATAATCATCGTAAAAATCATTTTAAAGCACAATTCCTATTCCGAAGAACGTTTAAGACAAAGAAGTGAGGATCGAATTTTTCAAGAACAACGCAATTGTCGGATTTAAATTGCATGTACCAAAAATGCTGTCTTCGCCCATTTTCTTGCCATAAGTGAGCATGCAATCGCCAAGTACACCTTCCGGCTGAGGATAAGTGGACGCCTTTGCCTGACCGCTGAGCTTGCTGATACCTTTGACTGCAGCCATCTTCGCTCTTGCTGTCGGGTTTGGTTGAAGGAACTCCTTCGTCTTCATCTGTAGCTCCTCCACAAGTTCGTACGTGACGTCTGTTTTCTATAGATACATGACGTGTTTATGTGAACTCTTCGTCTCATGTCAATTTATTTCGAACATGAAGAATTTCTTTATAAAGCTTTGAAATTTTATTTACGACATTATATACTTATCGATCCTCGATATTTCTATAAGTGAACATATAAAATAATAAAATAAAATGGTTTATTTGAAAAGTTAATTTTCAAAATAATGTCTCTGTGAGATTTAATAATAAATTTTAAACATAAATTTCAAAAATATTAACTTTTTTTGAAAGATATGTGATATACATTCCATCTTACGTCTAAACTATTATTTTTATAATCAGTTTTTCAATAATATAAGAATGTACACAAAGAATAGTAACCAAAGAACTAAAAGCAATTGCGAAGAAGGAATTTGCAAACACAGTTCTTGATAAAAAAATTGTATCACATCATCTACGTTATATCAAAGTTAAAGCGAAGTATTCAAGAAAGAAGCCAACGGTAAGAAGTTTTTTCAGAACTTCGTTTTGTAACACAGTCAATCTCGCAACTTCTGGCTTCAAATAAGAGCGTCATAAAAGTACTTTTAAAAGATTGATAAGATCCTCAGGAATCAAAAAAAAACTAGGGAAAATCTTGGAAATTCAGTAATAATATCAGTAGATAGAACACGCTAGTCATCTCTTTCCTGACGTCTTCACAAAGGTCGTGCGAAAATGTGAAAGACATTTCTTTTCACACACTTAGGACGTACGAAAATACACCACTCACCCTCTCCATATCCACGAAATCAACGTCGAGCTTTGTTCCCTCCGCTCCGCCCATCTTCTCTGTCATGTACTGCAAGAAAAATCCGTTATCCTTAGCCTAAAATCTACATCTAAATAAATAACGCTTTACCGATTTTACTCTTAATAGAATTACCTAATAAAATGCGAAAAAGATAATATATATTTGTCAAAACATGAATCGATTTAATTTCGCAAAAGTTTCTCGAGCTCCTTTATTCAAATATTTAAATAAATACGAAGTAAATATGAAAGTTTTTGATATTTTCTTGAAATTTGATTTTAAAGAGTATCTCGTAATTATAATAAATAATTTATGTAAATAATAACAGATTTAAAATTTAATTGTTTATTGCCTGAATTGCTCCAGTCATAAAAGTAAACATTGTATTGTCAATAAAAAGTAAAGGCTTTGCCTAAATATATTAAAATTTTGGAAAAAAAATATAAATCGAAAATAAATGCATAAATATATCGAGTTTAAAAATGGAAAATACAATAAATTGAAAATGAAAAATGCAAAAATTATAAAAACATTAAATTTAAAAAATGAAGAGAATCAAAAGATTGATATGTATTTCACGTTTAGCAGTCCTCATCAATTTAAGATCTCGGGCGAACATATTTAATGCTACCTCACGAACGAGATCGTTCCAGAAAATGTTTCTTTGGGCTACATATAAACCGCATTGCGAATACGATATAATATTTTCACGAACATTTATATAAATATATTGCACGAAGTCAGCTAATCGCTTGTAAATCGAGATTGTCCTGAAAAGCGGCAAGAGATTTTCTCCGACAAACGAGATATTTCGGAGAGATTTCCAAAAACGAAGTCAGGAGTGGTGAAAAGTATCGCGGAAAACATATACAAAGGGAAGCATTTTCTCTGTTAGCAGAAAAAATATCACCAAAAGAAACAATTGTTTCTTGGCTTTAATAGTTTAATTCCGCAACAATATCTGTCGATTTGCCACAATATACGAAATAGTGCCCTGTCTTTGCCAATGGTGGAAAAAGGATACGCATCCTGCCAAAGCTCGCGAAAATAGGTCAAATATCTTGGCATGCGAGAACTCACAAGCACTGTAATTTCTGCTAAAATAAATTTCAAGTTTGCGTTTCGAGATTATTCCGAAACTTCGATGGGTTTCATCATTTGTATTATATTGGATTAACTAGTGAAGCGTGTGGTGAAATTACATATTATCAGATTTCAAACAAAAATATATAAACCTTGCGAAATTCTTTCCAATATTTTACCATAAATAAACAAATTTTAATATCTAATTTTAATATTTAATATAAATAAAATTTAAACAATTATCATTATTGAAATTTTTCAATCATCGTAAAATTAAATTTTTCATGCAAAACTTTAATTTTGTATTCTCTAAAAAATTATAATAAATTATGATAATTATAATAAATTATCTAAAAAATATAATATCTCATAATAAATTGTATACACACACACACACACACACACACACACAGGGTGTCTGTTAATTAAGGTCGAAGCCGCATTGGGGTTGTAGAATGGATCAAAGGGAACAAAAAAGTCTTATACCATTTTGTAATTTTCGCAATAGTTAATAAGATATTAATTACTAAAAATGGCCGAATATTGCTCTTCTATAATTTTTTTCTCAAATACTATCAATTTTACAAAAAAACTATAAGTAATAAAAATTGTTTATTTTCTTCTCATAAAACTCTAAGAATTTTTTCAGAATTTTTTATCAACTTTTTAGTACTGCATTTTCTAATTTTTATTATCATGAGAAAATACGGTATTAAAAAATTCTGAAAAAATTCTCAGAACTTTATGAGAAGAAAATAAACAACTTTTGTCTCTTACAGTTTTTCTGTAAAGTTGACAGTATTTGAGAAAAAAAATTATTAAAGACCAATATTCGGCTATTTTTAGTCATTAATATGTTAACTATTGCGAAAATTGCAAAATGGTATAAAACTTTTTTATTCCCCTTGACCCATTCTACGCCCCCACAATGTAGCTCCGATCTTACTTAACAGACACCCTGTATATATATATATATGATGTACAACAAAGTTTATTAAAATAAAATAATTCGATGCAATACAAAATTTAAAATTAAATTGCACAGACAAGATCAACATTAATTAACATTAGATTAATTATCTCCTTCTTTCTTCGTCCTACTTCCCTCTTTCTCACTTTTTCCTCTACTGCTTTTTCTACTTTAAAATTTCCGTAACACGAACAATGAAAGAAAGTTACAATGAGATCTACAAGTTAGATCTACAGATATTCTCCTTTAAACCCTTTAAAAGTCCTTCTAAGTGCATTTTACGCATTTAACTTCGTTCGTATAAATTCAAATATTTATCTGGATATCAAAAGCAACTAGAATTGTCAACAATCATAAGAATATCCAAATTGCAGCGTCATACTATATTTTAAAATATCAATTTCTTTATGTATATGAATAAATATAATACCGTGCAATTCATTTTTTCCTGTGTAATTAATTATATGTAAAAAGAGAGTGAAGGACACGGAATAATGTCGTACGTTTAATAGCGCTAAGCGGCGAGCTTTGCAAGAGGGATTATTCGCAGGAGAAGGAGGAAGAAAAGAGGGATGAAGAGAGAGAGAGAAAGAGAGAGAAAGACCCTGACCCATTTAATAATGACCTACTTCCAGAGATGCGCACAGAGACGTAATCGTCACTCGTACGCAGCAAATGCCATCCTGGAGTAAATTTGACCTACATCACGTCACTTGCAATGTCGCACGCTTTACACCTATAAGCGTTCCGGCGATTTAAATTGCGTCTGTAATATATTATGATGGATGTCTCCATAAATGGAGTAAGATCACCCTGACGTACAAATACAGAAATCATATAAAATTAAAAAATTTCTTGTGACAAGAAAAAAACTTTAAAATCAAATTTTTTTAGAAAAAAAATTGTCCAACTAAATTTGTATTGTAAAACAAATATATCACGATAATAACATAATGAAATGTTTGTCAAAATTGTTTTATCACACTTGTTAGGATTTAATTATATGTTTTGTGTTTCTGTTAAAGTAAAATTTATAACAGCCCATAATTACATTAATATTGTAAAATAATGTAAATAATAAATATAGAATAATCCACGTGGTAATTATCTAACTTTCATATTTATATAAAAAAAAGAAAGATAAAACTTCAAGATCTATTAAGATTTCACAAATTATTTTCTATACTTTCTTTGAATATCGACTCTATTTGAAACCAGTTTCCTAATAACTTCCACAATAATAATAACGAATAACATAAAAATATAATTGGAAAAGCGTTATCAATGAGATAACTGAAGAGATGATTGAAGGAGCGATATTTATATCCGATTTATAACTCTTGCAATGAACGGAACTTAAAACTCGATTGATTTTCAGTAAGATCTAAATTTTAACGCCACAGGTTCAGCCATGGCATATATCGCAAAACTCTTGACATACATTCAGTGTAGACTTGCGTCGTTCTTTCGCCTTTAAAATAAGAGATCCATGGTATAGATTCGATAAGGGTCTCGGTCTAAACAAAAATTAATTGCTTCACTCAACGGGCACATTTGTGCTCGTACGAGACCTTTAGAGACTCAAATTAAAGCGACAACTAGATTAACCGGTACGGCCGTCGAATTTCACAGACGTGTTCGTTTGGACGACATTGAATCGAGATTAGAGTTGTACATTCACGAACTGTATACCCGAGGTAAAAAAAAAATACGAGTTAAAGAATCTGACCCTTAAAAAGAGGCAACAAGATACTCCAGTATTTACTAATTATTCGAATATTATTAATTTTGTGTTAAATGCTAACATTTAATATTTAATTTTTACTTGCGTTAAACAACTAACAGAACCTATACAGCGATATTATT